TCCACTAAATGTCCATGGTTGCACAGGATGCCACACAAGTCTGCCGCACACTTGCTAAGTAGATCAATTGATCTATCATTTTACTATACACTTAAATTTAAAACCAAGCTAACATCAACTACACTCCGGGCTGGAGGAGGTCAGGTCCTCCACAAACAATACCAAGTGGCCTCGGTACTGGTAGGGTGGACATAGCACGAGCTGCCATGTGAGATATCATAGGTTGAAGGTGGTAGGTTCAAGGTTGTAGGTTGTAGGAAGTAGATTGTAGGTCAGCTTACGTATCTTTGGTTAGGTGTTTTGATTTGGTTAGCAAAATGCATTCTGGGGCATATGGCAGCTCGTGCTACGTCTGCTACCGTGGCATCTCAATTTTCCTATTCAGCTTTTGTTAAGGTAAAATAATGCAAGATGCCTGTCACATGGGGATAATATAAAGAACTATGGAGTATGTAGACTCGAATGAAAATATATAATGAAATGTTTCTGTAATTATTATCTCTGGTCATGTTCACTCAATACTTTTGCCACATTCACCTCATTCTCAATTGCAATTGCAATTTTGTTCCCACATTCATGCCACGATTTCATGAAGGCAGATTTCATAAAGTACTTCAAATGCCTATCACAAGCATGAAGAAATACTCACTTGAACATCATAGGTCCTTTTCTTCATGCTGGCCTCAACAGAAGCCACAATGTATTTGCCATCCTGCAGGGCAATGGATCGGATTTTGCCACCATCCAATGCTCTTTCACCCTTCTCAATCACACTGGACATAGTTTGAAAAAAATCACCTATGGCTGCAACACTAACGAAGGCCATGATAGCTCATACCATGCCCAAACACGTCAAACACAGCCTGCAGCCCAGAAACGTGCAAATGTCCGTAACGTAATATTGTTTTCACGTGGTTTTCACCAAATGTCACATATGCGCCACAAATGCTGACACCATTGTGAATTTAGTAGCCTCACATTTCTTAGGGCTTTTTCAGCCAAATTTCGATGAAACTTGAAGCAAATCAATTTCAGAAATGTTATTCATCCATCTAAGTTTCCAAATAAATTCCAAATCAGGGTCGGACAATTTTTGAATCGCCACAATACACCTTTCTAGATAATCCCCTATCTCTACAGCATTAGCGCAGTCAGCTGTTGGAACCGTGACGTCACACTTAACAGCCCTATAGAGGCCTCCACGGTGACGTCACAAACTATTTTTCGTAACTGGCAACGCTGACTGGTAGGCAAAACAAACCGGGCGATCGCGGCCATTTGCACTGGCGTCTCGTGGTTTATCGGATTGTGAGAGCTGTTTTCGATAGTTTTTTCTCTAGTTTGTGTTTTTGTTCGTGATGTACGACTCCTCACGATACAAAGCAAAGCTCTGCCTGGGAGAGAAGGTATTTCCTGATCCGTACAAGATCGATGAGGCCTACTGGATCTCGGACAGTTTCGAGAAGCTCCCACTCGTGCTGTTTCCAGATATATTTGCGTATCTGGTCTCCACTTCTGGCACTTTCACGTCCGACAACTTGAAAGCTTTCAAGTCACTAGATGCTTGGAATGTGTTTTTGTCTAGTCATGTTGGCCCACTCAAGCTCTGCTCAGTGGATACCAGTGGTGTTTTCGTGAAGGCAGAGGTACAGGCCAGTCAGACGGCTTCAAAGTCGTATAATGCATGGGTGCTCTGCCACCCCAATGGCAGTGTTATGTCTGCCCACTGCCAATGCATGGCAGGACTTGGAGAAGTGTGCAGCCATGTGGCAGGTGTGCTCTACAAGATCCAAGCAGCCGTACTCCACGGACTGACAGAGAATGCACCAACAAGCAAGGCCTGTCAATGGAATCATCAGACAGCTACGAAGAAGGTGGAGCCCAGCAAGGTCCTTGACATTGCAGCAGACATGGGCATTCCTGCCAAGCGAAGCAGCGTCGAGTTCATCATGTCTGATGCTGCATTTCAGACAGAGCTGCAGGATCTGCCTGCTGGGTGTGCGCTGCAAAGCTCTCTGCCAGTCAGTGGTGATGTTGTGGATGGCAGGACTGAGCTGCCATATCCCATCTACAAGATGTTCTCCATCTTGAAGAAGATAGCTCCTAGTGATGCTGAGCCATCGAGGAAGTACTGTGAGATGCTGGTTAACAAACTGAAGAAGATGTACCCTAGTGATGTGATAGGGAACGTCGAGCGAGCTACTGTGGATCAGGGAGGATCGAAGGAGTGGCTTAACCAGAGGCATGGAAGGGTGACTGCTTCAGTGTTTGGTGAGGTGGTGAGCCATGTCGAGGGGGGACGACAGAGTGCATCATTGGTGCGTAAGATCGTGGAGCCAGCGTCCTGTAAGCTTACAGTGCCTGCTGTAGTCTGGGGACATACACACGAGGCAGATGCTTGTGTTGCTGTAGAAGGGGTTCTGAGCTCTATGCATAGTGAGCAAGCAAATTAGCAATACATTTGACACGTGCCCCGAAAAAGTCTTCAATTTTATCGCGTCGTGTTTGAAACAGAGGTGGAAACATGCAGAACATGGTAGCAAACCAAAAATCCTTTACCACTTACCTTTGTCATAGGGTCTGCTCCCTTCACTAGTGTTGAAGAGATCGGACCTCAGGTCTTCCCTTTACCACTTCCCTTCAAGTAAAAAAAGCATTGTCTTCTACCACAAATTTGCTAATTAACAATTTATCGCCTTTGAATTGAATATGTGTGAATAAGAAAAGATAAATAAAACCCTTTTGACGAGTTTTTCCTTAAAATTTGTATAAAATGCTCTTAATTAAAATCGACAAAGTTTTTCCTTTCCCTGAAATCCTTCACAATGCTAAGAGATCGGCCTTTCTTCATGCTAGTATACTAGGAAACCTTCAACATTAATTTGCTAAATGTACGTCTTTGCTGTTGAAATTAATATTGGTATTACGAAATTTGTCACAACATTCAAGAAAAATAACAATGAATCTCTATGATGCCAAAATGTAATGAAAAGTGTCATACATGCTATCGTAGTGATGAGCATTTTCACCGGCGAAAAAGATGGCATCAAATGGAACTTTGGGAGGCGATTGCGCGTTACAGGGTGAGGATAACGGAAAATGGACTGGACATCTGTGGTGAGGGCGGGCACCTCTTACGAAAACCGGTAAGTGAAAAAAAGGTGACAGTCTACCTTTAAATGGCCTGTTTTCGGCGAGCGATATCTCGGTCAACCTTTGAAGGAATCAATGGTTCTTAGTCTCAAATGATAGATCGATGAATTTTCTTTCGACAATTCCTCTACCATTTTTCACGAAACCCAGCCGATCTTCTACGGCGTACAGGGTAAAGATTTCTCTGCACGCCAGCACCCACGATCAGGCTCTCCGATCGTCGGCGCGCGGTCCTTGGTAGCGCAGTCGGTAGCGTATCGGGCTACGGATCCGAGGGTCGCGAGTTCGAATCCTGGGAGCGCCGCGTGATTTCGGCTAGAATTGAATGATGTAGATTCTTGAATGTTTGCATAATCAATTATTAATAGCTAATTGAATGTATCTGCCCACTAATCGGCCTCTAAAGCCTGTTATTTAAGAAATTTAATAAATGAATGTCACGTGCACGTCACGACTGCCAACCATGAGCGCTACCATATTCTAGTTTGAACTAAGTTTTTGCTAGTCCCGACCACATATAGTATGTTTTCTAGTAGTTATACTAGAAATTCCTACCAAAGTTCGTCCTACCCTTCACTCAATATACCCTGGACAAAAATGGCCCTAGAGCTACGGCAATGGTACCATCGCATTCGCCTCGTCAAACCGCGTCGAATGATACATATATTTTGTTTGGAAAAGGTCAAGTTTTATGTTGACCTCATGTGACCTCGAATGACCTTTGGTTGACCTTGACACATGAAAGGTCGTTTATGATGGATTTACTAACTTGGATCAGTGAAATAGCCTCTAGCAAGGATACTCTTCTATGACCTTGACCTTTGAGCATTCTTGTATCATAAGATGAACCACAAATAGGAACCTGATAAGCCTCAAAACATTTCAAAACATCTTGGAAGTTAGCACATAAGATGTACGAAAAAGTGCAAAGTTTGAGGTCAATTTTGAGCATGACCTTGACCTTGACCTTTGATTTTGAGCACATTTTCGGAATCCTCAGATTCTCTTCATTCGTTTGACACCCAATTTTGCCGGCTTTATGCATCCTGCCGTCCTCTAGAATGCTTACTTTGAGATCACTACACATGTGCTGGTTTTTGCCTTTCACCTTGACTTCTGACCTTGAAAATTGACCTGAGGTCACAAATTTTAGGTGCTTTAGAATCGTCTCGTAAGGACCTTTCGTTTAATATCGCTTTTGTTTCCGTAGCTCCATTATTTACGAAGCTAGACGGGGGGGGGGGGCGAAAAACGCCCCCCCGCGCTGCGGTGGTTGGGATTACCCCCGGGCCCGGCCGGGTTAATGGGATGTCCAACACTGAAACGCACGCCTTTATGAAATATTAGGTTGCATTATGAAAGCAAGATTATTGGGGGACCCCAATAATCTTCCCCCAAATCCGGACCCCCGCGACGCTGCACCGACGGTGGAGCCCCTGCTCACTTTCATTGGAATAAGTAAGGCAATGAGGAATGCTAGCTTGTACACTTTTATTGCAGGGGAACCGAACATGCAGTGCAGCTGCACTGCAATACATGCTTTTTTGATGAAAATAAGTGACCCCGGTTCTTAAGCCACCGCTTAATAAATCCAAAACACCTTGTCACCAAGATGGATTTATTAAGCGGATCCCACTGTATTCTGATCATATTCCATTCACTGATCATAGCAGTGAATGGAATAATTGAATTTCATGCAGATATTTTGTCAACCACCTTCAGGTCTCAGGATCTGGTCAATGGTCATTGATGCATGGAGGAACAATCAGATAAGAGCGTTGCTCAAAATACTTTCCATTTCTGTCAGTTTTGTCTGTGTTCTGACTTCTAACTCTCTTCCATTACAGGAAGCAGTCGTAAAGCAGCCACCATGACAGTGATGGAGTTTTTTGGATGTGGTTTTCTGGCATTTGGCCCACCCTTAGCAATGTTTATCATCACCATTGCTAAAGATCCAATAAGAATTATTATCCTTATGTCAAGGTATGCATAATGTTTAATTGCTAATATTATTATTGCCATCCTACTTTTTCTGCTGTCTAGACCTGGAATTACTGGTTTCAAAAGTAACTCGAGAATATGTATTGTACCTAACTAGATTTATTGTTACAGATGTTGAATTGTGCCTATAAAGATGACGTGCTGCTTATGTTAATTGCTAGTTTTTGGCAACATGGTTTTAGGTGCATATAATGTCCGTCATTGTTGCTGTTGATTGTTTTCTAATTGCACCTGCTATGGAAAATCAGTTGCCAAATGTAACCTACAATTCATTTGACAATGCAGTATAATAACTTCAGTCAGTGATACTTTGATGCGCAGATTCCGTGTCTACCCCTGCCACTGTGAGGTACTGCCACCTGGGGTCTGCATTTCGAAGGTGGCAGCCCCAGTCAACACGATTGTGATGTCCCTACGGCCTACCTCTCCCGGACGTGAATTTGAAGTCAGGGGGTCTCTGACAGACTATGTCCGCTCTCCGCCGCTGCTGAGTTACTCATTGAGCTGACGCTGCTGTCCGCCCGTCGCCAGCGCATTCTTCTGGCTACTGTCGCTGCTGTTCTCGTCTCTGCTCTGGTTCGCCGTGGTCCCTCTCCGCACCGAACTGGCGTTCGGGATGGTGTTCTCCGTGCTGCTCCAGGAACTATTCAGGTGCGACCGCCGAAACGATTACTTGTGGGCTTTTCCAATGTATGTCAGCTACATCTGAGGTTTCTGGTTCTAAGACTCATGGCTCTTAAAGTGAAGGGAACCTGTTATTTATTGAAGCTTTGTGATCTTACCCAATGATAACATGTGTTTATGCACTAGTGATAACATGCGTTTTATTTTTGTTGAAGGGCTTGGATCGGATTCAGAACATATTGATAAGTGCCAGTGGATTGTTTTAACTTTTTTCAGATCCACTGGTGTAAACCATAACCACTGTTTGTCTGCAAGGGCTAAGATGAACAGACTGCCGAATAACTTAGTAGCCAGTAGGTTACTAAAATAATATGCATGCCAGTCATGGACCCTGCAGTCACCTGCAGTAAGTTTAATGACCGGTGCCCCCGTTCTCAGGTTCCTGCTGTACAAGCTGCTCCGTCTGGCCGAGAGCGGTCTGAAGAAGGTGACCGACAACGACCAGGTGGTGACGAACCCACACATCATGTCCTACGGTCAGTAGCGGGGCAGACTGCTGGCTGCAGTAGTATTGCAGTGCTTCCCCTGCACTCAAACATTGAACTCTGATAAACACTGAATGCCATCAAATATTGTTACCGCTATTATAATTACTCTCTGAAGCAATCGCTCATTTTTTTAACACAAGTTCTGAGGCGCTTGATGCTGCTAGGTACTTGGAATTCAATATCGTTGCCGAAATACTGCAGTACAAAAACATCAGAATGGGTACTAATTGGGTAAGGTAGAAAAAGTAAATTGGACGAAAGGCTCAGAACGAACTCTGATAGTTCCTATGGAGCAGAAAAGTAACGGACCATTACCATTGACGGTCATCACATCGTACACTTTTTTTTTGCGCATGACGTACAAGATGCTTAAACACATTAAAGACAGAACTTGTAAAGGTATTCTCGCTGTTTTTGTCGTTGATGGCTATTGTGCGTTGTCAAGCTTCAGTTTCAATGTTACCCGTTGCGTGATGCACCACTTGGAGGAAACTTTGACGAACTGACGGTCACAGCTGAGACCGGTGGTGAGCACTCGATATATATATATATATATATATATATATATATATATATATATATATATATATATATATATATATATATATATATATACATACATATATTATATTGTCATGTCATTTCTTTCGTTTCTTCCACGTTTGATGACATGCAAATATGCATGCGATTTTCAAGTAGTACCTATTTGTAACGATTGATGTAGATCCAGCGACAAGTAACAAGTCTGTTCCCCCCATACTCACAGACCACCGTTAACAGTATTCGAACATGATTATCAATGGGCCTATGCTCATTGAAGTCTGCATCTAATCGTGTATTTTGATCTCAATCTCTCACTATCCGGCAGTGTGCGGTCTCGGCTTCGGCATGATGTCGGGGGCGTTCTCGCTGGTGAACGTGCTGGCCGACTCGGTGGGCCCGGGCACCATGGGTCTGCGCGGCCACTCGCCCTACTTCTTCCTGGTGTCGGCCACCCTGACACTGTGCTTCATCATGCTGCACACCTTCTGGGGCGTTATCCTGTTCGACGCCGTGGATAGAGGCAGCGTGCTGCGGACGCTCTTCGTGGTCGTCTCCCACCTGGCTCTCTCCTGTTTGGTGAGTTCATCGACAGTTGTTGAGAGTTTAGTGTATCGTCGCGTGGTGGAGAGTTTAGTCAAGCCTACTTCTGAGTATTAGCTAGTACTAGTCAAAGTTTGGTATGGGTAGACAATATCCCTAGCTTACATCAAGACATGTGACATAACACTATTTATGATACAATACAAGTCACATGCAGTCGATGTAATAGCTGCAGACCAGACCTAAACGCCTTAATGAATGACTTATTCGTGGTCAACTGATAGAAAATATTGTACTTCCGTCGTTTCCACGTTAAACACACCTTACCTTGTCTGACCGGTCTCTGGTGCCTGTGTGGGCAGACGCTGCTGAACGCCACCTCTCTGTACGCGGTGACGCTGGTGGCGGCCGTGGCGCTGACCGTCATCACCGGCTACGGCGCGCTGCTGGTCACGGGCGGAACGGGGCGCCGCCTGCTCACCTGTCTCCGGCCGCGGCCCACCCAGCTGCAGGTGCCCGAGCCGCCGCTGCCCGACCGGCAGTGATCCGTGGCGCGGCCGACCGCCCGGCGGCCACAGCCGAGAGAGCTGACGGCTGGCCACTAGCCTGCTGGATGCGGTCTATGGGTCTGGGCTGTGGAGTGGGGACGGGCTCCGAGCAACATCTATTGCTAGCTGTGGTTGTGTGTGCTTAGGTATGATTATTTATCCTAAATGTTTGTGTTCATTAACTTGATGTGCGCGCCATGTAATGGCATGCTGATAATTATTAATTTGATTGGAAAATTCGTCCGTACCTACAGAGCGAATATCTCCTTGCGTCATTGTTGGAATATTTCTATGCTGTGTAATGGTGTATATGTGCTGGCTGCTTGGTCGGCCCCTCCAAGGTGCAACGCGCCGGCTACATTTATTCAAAATCTAAAAGTCATATTGCCTTTTGCTACGCTTCGCATAGGTCATGCTGTGCTATCTGTTTTTGGACTTTTGGGATACGTTTATCACTTAGTTGTCACGTTAGATTTTTAGGTTAAAGGGGCGGCTGAACATGTCTAACTAGAAGGCCGACTTGACATTTTAATTGCTTTTGGGCGGACTTATGTATAGCTCCAACTTTCAATGATGTCCGTTCTCTAATTGTAAACACCTCTTTATCTTGTGTGCGCCGTGGGCATTGTTGTGGTAAAGGCATTGGTGTGCGTTTTGACGCCATTCAATCGCTATTTTCAATGAATCAGAAACTTTAGGCCAGTTTCGACTGAGTATCGTTATCCCCTGCGTTCGTAACACCCCTGCGTACCTGTCCGTCGAATGGACCATGTCCTGCAGTCCTCTCTAGAACGTCCCGGTCGTGCCGGCAGGTCCCCCAGCGCGGCGTGGTCTCGGACCGCCACGTCACCCTGACCTTCCCTGGGTGACGGCGTGACGTGGATCATCCCACGCGCCCGGCGCGCTCCTCCGTTCCTGGCTCGGCGACCTGCGTTCCTCGTTCACTGACTGATCCCGCCATCCGGCCGCTCCTTACCTCGCCGCTGACACCGCGGTGAGTCTGGACGGACCGCGGCTTGTCGTCTGCTTAACTTGCATTAATCGCCGTTCATGTTTTTCACTGACGAAATGTGTTAAATACATTCCACTTCTACTCAGATAGATTACCTAAAAGATTCTGAGTAGTCGAACAGATAATATGTGAAGATATCGTAAAGCATAGACCTCCTCTTATCGAAGTTTAAGAAGTCATATCGAAGCCCAAGAGTTCAAGTTCAAGAAAAAGTCACTGGCGGGCATAATGTAACCCAAGCCGGCTAAAAGCTATCATGATTGAAGTGTTCCTCCTAATCCATGCCTAGACATAATGTGCTCCATCTCATACCAGATGAAACACAATTTGAGACGACGAAGGTTTACCCCGAGGGGTGTTCATGGGCACCGCACACTGCTGCGTGCGGTGTGTGCGGTGCGTCCAGCAGGCGTGGGGGGTAGGGGATGGGTAGGCGGTTCTGACGTCACGGCTGCGTGCGGTGGACGGTCCGCTGTGGCCAGTCCCGACCGGCCACAGCGATATGTAACGGAAGTTGGCACAGATTCAGCACAGATTCAGCACAGCACAGATTCGGTAGGGGGAAAAAAGGCCCCGGTAGAGGGAAACCTTTATGACCCGTTTTCCCCTAGAAATGACGTCACAAAGAGGTAAAAATGGGTATCAATCGAAAGCTCTCGTTTACCCAGACACAGTCCTGCAGGAAAATTCCACTTTTTCCCCATAGGAAAGTTTTTACGGGAAAATCAAAATTTCGGGTCAATGGGGGGTCCCCCCCGATTTCGTTCAAAATCGGCACACAGGTGCCCCACCACCAGCCGAGAAACTTTCCCCAAAACGGTCCCCGTTGCATTGACGTTTAAGGCCCTTAAAGCCCCGTAAACTCGTAAAAAATCCGTAAATTCGCCCTTGTACGGCCAAAAACGGGGCGCTAGGGTAAAAATGGGTATCAATCGAAAGCTCTCGTTTACCCAGACACCGTCCTGCAGGAAAATTTCACTTTTTCCCCATAGGAAAGTTTTTACGGGAAAATCAAAATTTCGGGTCAATGGGGGGTCCCCCCCGATTTCGTTCAAAATCGGCACACAGGTGCCCCACCACCAGCCGAGAAACTTTCCCCAAAACGGTCCCCGTTGCATTGACGTTTAAGGCCCGTAAAGCCCCCTAGACTCGTAAAATATCCGTAAAATCGCCTTTGTACGGACAAAAAAGTGGTGCTATGGTAAAAATGGGTATCAATCGAAAGCTCTCGTTTACCCAGACACAGTCCTGCAGGAAAATTCCACTTTTTTCCCATAGGAAAGTTTTTACGGGAAAATCAAAATTTTGGGTCAATGGGGGGTCCCCCCCGATTTCGTTCAAAATCGGCACACAGGTGCCCCACCACCAGCCGAGAAACTTTCCCCAAAACGGTCCCCGTTGCATTGACTTTTAAGGCCCGTAAAGCCCCCTAGACTCGTAAAATATCCGTAAAATCGCCTTTGTACGGACAAAAAAGTGGTGCTATGGTAAAAATGGGTATCAATCGAAAGCTCTCGTTTACCCAGACACAGTCCTGCAGGAAAATTTCACTTTTTTCCCATAGGAAAGTTTTTACGGGAAAATCAAAATTTTGGGTCAATGGGGGGGTCCCCCCGATTTCGTTCAAAATCGGCACACAGGTGCCCCACCACCAGCCGAGAAACTTTCCCCAAAACGGTCCCCGTTGCATTGACGTTTAAGGCCCGTAAAGCCCCCTAGACTCGTAAAATATCCGTAAAATCGCCTTTGTACGGACAAAAAAGTGGTGCTATGGTAAAAATGGGTATCAATCGAAAGCTCTCGTTTACCCAGTCACAGTCCTGCAGGAAAATTACACTTTTTTCCCATAGGAAAGTTTTTACGGGAAAATCAAAATTTTGGGTCAATGGGGGGTCCCCCCGATTTCGTTCAAAATCGGCACACAGGTGCCCCACCACCAGCCGAGAAACTTTCCCCAAAACGGTCCCCGTTGCATTGACGTTTAAGGCCCTTAAAGCCCCGTAAACTCGTAAAAAATCCGTAAATTCGCCCTTGTACGGCCAAAAACGGGGCGCTAGGGTAAAAATGGGTATCAATCGAAAGCTCTCGTTTACCCAGACACAGTCCTGCAGGAAAATTTCACTTTTTTCCCATAGGAAAGTTTTTACGGGAAAATCAAAATTTTGGGTCAATGGGGGGGTCCCCCCCGATTTCGTTCAAAATCGGCACACAGGTGCCCCACCACCAGCCGAGAAACTTTCCCCAAAACGGTCCCCGTTGCATTGACGTTTAAGGCCCGTAAAGCCCCCTAGACTCGTAAAATATCCGTAAAATCGCCTTTGTACGGACAAAAAAGTGGTGCTATGGTAAAAATGGGTATCAATCGAAAGCTCTCGTTTACCCAGACACAGTCCTGCAGGAAAATTCCACTTTTTTCCCATAGGAAAGTTTTTACGGGAAAATCAAAATTTTGGGTCAATGGGGGGTCCCCCCCGATTTCGTTCAAAATCGGCACACAGGTGCCCCACCACCAGCCGAGAAACTTTCCCCAAAACGGTCCCCGTTGCATTGACTTTTAAGGCCCGCAAAGCCCCCTAGACTCGTAAAATATCCGTAAAATCGCCTTTGTACGGACAAAAAAGTGGTGCTATGGTAAAAATGGGTATCAATCGAAAGCTCTCGTTTACCCAGACACAGTCCTGCAGGAAAATTTCACTTTTTTCCCATAGGAAAGTTTTTACGGGAAAATCAAAATTTTGGGTCAATGGGGGGTCCCCCCCGATTTCGTTCAAAATCGGCACACAGGTGCCCCACCACCAGCCGAGAAACTTTCCCCAAAACGGTCCCCGTTGCATTGACGTTTAAGGCCCGTAAAGCCCCCTAGACTCGTAAAATATCCGTAAAATCGCCTTTGTACGGACAAAAAAGTGGTGCTATGGTAAAAATGGGTATCAATCGAAAGCTCTCGTTTACCCAGACACAGTCCTGCAGGAAAATTCCACTTTTTTCCCATAGGAAAGTTTTTACGGGAAAATCAAAATTTTGGGTCAATGGGGGGTCCTCCCCGATTTCGTTCAAAATCGGCACACAGGTGCCCCACCACCAGCCGAGAAACTTTCCCCAAAACGGTCCCCGTTGCATTGACGTTTAAGGCCCTTAAAGCCCCGTAAACTCGTAAAAAATCCGTAAATTCGCCCTTGTACGGCCAAAAACGGGGCGCTAGGGTAAAAATGGGTATCAATCGAAAGCTCTCGTTTACCCAGACACAGTCCTGCAGGAAAATTTCACTTTTTCCCCATAGGAAAGTTTTTACGGGAAAATCAAAATTTCGGGTCAATGGGGGGTCCCCCCCGATTTCGTTCAAAATCGGCACACAGGTGCCCCACCACCAGCCGAGAAACTTTCCCCAAAACGGTCCCCGTTGCATTGACGTTTAAGGCCCGTAAAGCCCCCTAGACTCGTAAAATATCCGTAAAATCGCCTTTGTACGGACAAAAAAGTGGTGCTATGGTAAAAATGGGTATCAATCGAAAGCTCTCGTTTACCCAGACACAGTCCTGCAGGAAAATTCCACTTTTTTCCCATAGGAAAGTTTTTACGGGAAAATCAAAATTTTGGGTCAATGGGGGGGTCCCCCCCGATTTCGTTCAAAATCAGCACACAGGTGCCCCACCACCAGCCGAGAAACTTTCCCAAAAACGGTCCCCGTTGCATTGACGTTTAAGGCCCTTAAAGCCCCGTAAACTCGTAAAAAATCCGTAAATTCGCCCTTGTACGGCCAAAAATGGGGCGCTAGGGTAAAAATGGGTATCAATCAAAAGCTCTCGTTTACCCAGACACAGTCCTGCAGGAAAATTTCACTTTTTCCCCATAGGAAAGTTTTTACGGGAAAATCAAAATTTCGGGTCAATGGGGGGTCCCCCCCGATTTCGTTCAAAATCGGCACACAGGTGCCCCACCACCAGCCGAGAAACTTTCCCCAAAACGGTCCCCGTTGCATTGACGTTTAAGGCCCGTAAAGCCCCCTAGATTCGTAAAATATCCGTAAAATCCTTAAAATAAATCCGTAAAATATCGACACTTGTGTGCCGACTTTGAACGAAATCGGGGGGACCCCCCATTGACCCAAAATTTTGATTTTCCCGTAAAATCTTTCCTATGGGGAAAAAGTGGAATTTTCCTGCAGGACTGTGTCTGGGTAAACGAGAGCTTTCGATTGATACCCATTTTTACCATAGCACCACTTTTTTGTCCGTACAAAGGCGATTTTACGGATATTTTACGAGTCTAGGGGGCTTTACGGGCCTTAAACGTCAATGCAACGGGGACCGTTTTAGGGAAAGTTTCTCGGCTGGTGGTGGGGCACCTGTGTGCTGATTTTGAACGAAATCGGGGGGGACCCCCCATTGACCCGAAATTTTGATTTTCCCGTAAAAACTTTCCTATGGGGAAAAGTGGAATTTTCCTGCAGGACTGTGTCTGGGTAAACGAGAGCTTTCGATTGATACTCATTTTTACCATAGCACCACTTTTTTGTCCGTACAAAGGCGATTTTACGGATATTTTACGAGTCTAGGGGGCTTTACGGGCCTTAAACGTCAATGCAACGGGGACCGTTTTGGGGAAAGTTTCTCGGCTGGTGGTGGGGCACCTGTGTGCCGATTTTGAACGAAATCGGGGGGGACCCCCCATTGACCCAAAATTTTGATTTTCCCGTATAAACTTTCCTATGGGGAAAAAGTGAAATTTTCCTGCAGGACTGTGTCTGGGTAAACGAGACTTTCGATTGATACCCATTTTTACCCTAGCGCCCCATTTTTGGCCGTACAAGGGCGAATTTACGGATTTTTTACGAGTTTACGGGGCTTTAAGGGCCTTAAACGTCAATGCAACGGGGACCGTTTTGGGGAAAGTTTCTCGGCTGGTGGTGGGGCACCTGTGTGCCGATTTTGAACGAAATCGGGGGGGACCCCCCATTGACCCAAAATTTTGATTTTCCCGTAAAAACTTTCCTATGGGAAAAAAGTGGAATTTTCCTGCAGGACTGTGTCTGGGTAAACGAGAGCTTTCGATTGATACCCATTTTTACCATAGCACCACTTTTTT